GATTCTCCTGTTATATTCTCAGGTAAGCTTTGTTCAGATGACCTAGATACTGAGCGAGTCTGAGGTTTCGGTTTCCCAAAATTTCTTAACCAAGGTGCAATATCGTCATCATCATCATCTTCTTCTTCCTCCTGTCCAGTCAGGTGTGACGAAGACCTCAACTTTGGCTTCATTGATCCTTTGGAAGATGCCCTTGACATTAGTTTTTCTCTTTCACCTTTTACAACACCAAGTGGTGGAAGAACTTCTCCTTTGACCTTGGGGAATTCTTGAATGGCCACAGAGGTTGGTTTAGTGTCTTCAACTGGTAGAATCTTCTGGATTTCAGCATCAGCTTCTGATATAAGTTGAGATTGCGAGTTGATATTGTTTTTCTGTATTGGTTCCTTTTTTATGTTGGCTGGTGTCATCCAAGGGGCAATGGGGGAACCAGCGCCTAAGGACGAGCTAGCTCGAGACTTTGAAAACAGAATAAATTCATATTTTTTTTTTTATAACTAAACTTGGACAATAATCTTATGGGAAACAATTACTAGTATAACAATAACTATACAATGCAAATTTTGAGGTAATTTCTTCATAAAAAAGGATATGTCAATAAAAGACGAAAGTTTTTCTGGCTAGAAAAACAAATATGTTTTTGTTTTTCATAAACATGAAGGTCACATTTACGTAAGGAAATGTTATCAGGTTTAAAATATCTAAACAATATACTAACAGGAAACAATAACCAGGAAACAATTAAGTTTTATCTAATATCTTAGCTATTTCCGCATAGTAGGAAAGTTTTTCTGGCCAGAAAAACAAATATGCTTTTGACTTTCATAAACATAAAGGTCATGTTTACTTAAGGAATTCCTATCCCCTTTGAATCAGCTAATTGAAATTATCATAAGCAGAGATGTTTACTATCATAGATAATCATCCTTGAGACCAACAGTAAGTAACATGACGTAATATAATCATCCCTACAGGATGTTATATAATCTCTACTTCCACAAATAAAATATGTTACTTTCACTCTAAAATCTTTTATTCTGAATCTGAGACATTTGCATGTCTAGAATATTTGCCCCTCTAGAACATTTGCCACTCTAGAATCTTTGCCCCTCTAGAACATTTGCCCCTCTAGAATATTTGCCCCTCTAGAATATTTGCCCCTCTAGAACATTTGCCACTCTAGAATATTTGCCCCTCTAGAACATTTGCCCCTCTAGAACATTTGCCCCTCTAGAACATTTGCCCCTCTAGAACATTTGTCCCTCTAGAACATTTGTCTCTCTAGAATATTTGCATCTTCCATCCCCTAAGTCTCAACTTTATCTTTTGACAGTTCAACTGTAAGTATAGGCTCCCCTTTGCCCCTGCCCCAGATGAAATATATAGAACGTTGAATATTTGAACATTAAAATTAGGGATGGCAACGAATACCAACATCAATACTCGAGTACTCGGTCATTTTTCAGATCGAGTACTCGGTTACTCGGACGATTTCCAATGATCTTCAAAGTTTATCACACAATATCAACACCATCCGCATGCTACTTTCGTTTTCTATTTAAATTGCAAAGGAGACAAATCAAAATTAAATCAACGACATTTTGAGTACATTTTAATTAATGCAATATCAAGTTTAAAACATTTTAATATCTTTTTCTTCTTGTAATAAAATAGACTGATCGGCGGCAACAAAAATTTAACCGGGTCTAAATACAACTTTAATTATTATATCAAATCCCTTACTTCTACTGGAAGTACTTTAACGGAAATGAATTATAATCTTCAAACTGATCTTGATAGTGTTAGCACATGGTGTAGGCAAAATGCAATGATATTAAATGCACAAAAAACTAAGGCCATAAATTTCTCTTTAAAAAATACTAAATCAAAAAATACTGCTTCATCTACTCTGCACCTTCAAAACAAAGAGATAGAATTTACAGACACTGAAAAACTGTTAGGAGTCCAGGTTGACAAAAATCTTAAATGGAAAACACAAATTCAAAATATTATTAAAAAATGCAATTCACAGCTCTATTTGCTTCTTAGAATCAAACAGTACCTTGATCTCCATTCCAGAAAACTCTTTTTTAATGCTTATATTTTGCCACATATTGACTACTGTTGCACTATTTGGGGAAACTGCAGTAGTGAATTACTTTCGCAAATTGTGAACTTTCAAAAAAGAGCTGCAAGAATTATTTTAGACAAAAGTTTTGATACCCCATCAAATATTCTATTTAAAGAATTAAATTGGATGTCCTTTGATCAAAGAATTATGTACAAAAAGGCAATCCTCATGTATAAATCTATAAATGAACCATCCTTTCCTATTTATATGAAAAATAAATTCCAAACAATAAATGACAAACATGACTTTAACTTAAGATCTATACAAAATGAAAAACTAACTGTACCCAAACCAAAAACAGAATTTTTTAGAAAATCATTTAATTACTCTGGTCCTGTGGTATGGAACAACATACCAATCCATATTCGAAATTCTGATACCCTGAGGAAATTTCAATCCTCCTATATCCAGTGGCAATTTTCTAACTAATTGTTTGTACATATTGTTTCAAAACATATACTTTCCATGCTGAAGTTATGAAAATGTCACTTCTCTATGTAAGAAGAAAAAATTGTTTACTTATTTATTGTATTGATATGATGTTTATAATGTACATATTTATGTTGTCTAAATGTTGATTGTGATTGTATTTTATGTTGTTTTGTATATACTGAGGCCCGCATGGAAGATCGGGAAACTGAATGTGTTAGCCTCATAAAATAAAGTCGTTACTTACTTACTTACTATAACATTTTGTTTTTTTTTAAAATGTTACCTTAAAACAAGATTCGGGTACAAACTCCGCTGTGTTACACAATTAAAGGTTACTAAATATCATACTTTTTAGAGGCCGGATGACGTAAGCGACACATATGCGCGTGTCAAACTGTTTGCCTCATTAAATTTATGATATTATTTTCGCACCTCTGCAAGGAAGTTGTGATTACATTTAACAGGTATTTATGAAGATATATCCACATCTCCGAATTTCTGAACTAATTGGATACACCAAACTGTCTAAATAGCAAATAAAATAGAAATTATACATTTTTTTCCGAGTAATCGAATATCAATTTTGTTAACCGATATTCTGACGTTCGATCGAGTACTCGGTTAACCCGTTAATCATTGCCATCCCTAATTAAAATCCTTACTCATTCTTAGCCTAATAAAATTGCAAAGTATTGTTACTCATATACATAAACTTTGAACTGCTGTATTATTTTGTCCTTCTAAATAAAATATGCTAGAATCATAAGTCACCTGTGTTTGAAGCTAACAAAGAAATATCTTCCAAAACAAAACAAGTGGGTTATAAATTAAAATATTGTTGGGCTACCTTTAAGGTTTAAAATTTGACTATTTTATAGGTGTTTTTTTTCCTGTTCACAACAGTACTCAAGTATGCACTACATAAACATTTTTCTAACAAATTTCTCATTGACCGACTTAGAAGATTGAGACATATAAGGACGAGCGCATAGTTCAGTGAACTCAGCTTATAACGATATTCAGGGGACCGCCAAATTTATACCGTTATATCCAGATATCACTGTATCCGAGAGACAACCAATTTGAAAAATTGAGCCGGGACCAAAGGCAACAGAATTGTTTTATACGGTAAACCATTATAATGGATGTTGTAAGTGGAATTTGCTGAATTATTACAAAAAGCTTTGATAATTATTTCTTTTAGAATTTAGAGATAAATATAACGAAGCATATTGTTGATCCCAATCAAAAACTTAATCTCGTTCAAAAACATAAAACTTTTCTCATTCTTGACTGTTTCCCACTTCTTCAGTTGAAATTCATAATTTTCTTCTAATTAGATCACTCAAAATCTTCATATGGAGTAAAGTTGTATATTTCCAATTTGGATCAACAATAATTATTTTCTCTCTAAGTACAAAGTTTCTTCATTTATGTTAATATATGCAAAAAGCTGTGTAAAAGAAAGTTCTTAAACATGTATATAACAATATACAGCATATTATGTTCATTTACATACATCATTACATGATTAAATTAATTCACTTATACAACTATTACTCAATATAAAATCAATGTGTCAACTAGCATCAAAGAAAATTCTTAGCCTTATACCAAAATCATTATGATATACATTAAAGGGACTCCACTCAGTTTATTTTTATTACAAGATGGGACAGGGAATTATTTTTTTCAAGATTCATGTACTACTTGATGAAGGTCTATACAAATAACTTGTGTGCAAAAATTTCTGATCATTCGCTACATTTTTCCAGGATAATTATTTTCATTGTCAAATATGACTCCAAATGAAAACAGTTTAAATGCCTTTAACTAGAATCAGGCTAAGAACGGAACAAAATGTTATTTTTCAATTCAACTCTGTGTATATTTTATAATTATCTTTTGCATATCATTCCATTTTAAGTGCCCTTTTTGATATTTGTAAAAAATTTAAAAAATTATGATTTTAAGCTTTTGGACCTCAGTAAAGTTCCTTTAACCATCGAGGTCAAAAAGCTTAAAAAATAAATTTGACATTCTTACATGAAGTGTATCACTCAAAAATTAAAATAGAAAAATGGTAAAGAAAAATAAAGAAATATGCTCAGAATTAAATTACTAGCCTGATTGGGTGAAAATACTTTTCAACCCTTCTCATTTTTTTTTGTTATTTTGCATAAATATTCTTGAAAAAAATGGGATGAGAGAAAAATCTGAGAATTTGCACCCAAAACTACATCAAAATGTATAAAAAAATCTTGAAAAAATATTAAGTTCGGTCATGTCATATTACCTCAGTGGAGTCCCTTTAAAGATATTTTGACTTGCTTCACAACAATATATATAGCCCTACACCAAAACTATTACACGTAAACAAAAATAATATAAAGTTTTCCATAACTATTTCTATAACAATCAAAGGGAGGTAACTTACTTTAGCATCATCTGTCTGCTGCATCAGGTTTGTTAACTCTTGTTCAGAATTTTCCGTCTGCAGTCCTTCACCTTGACCTTGCTCTTCTGGTTTTGCTAAAGGAAGAAGAATAAGAGCTAAAAATCATCTTAGGTTATACCAAAACTGTTACAGTGGCACGCATCCAGATTAGCAAATAAATTTTCATGAAAAGATGTCAAAAGGCAATATAAAAATATTCACAATGCAACAACCATAACCATAGGGTGGCATTAACTACAAGACATGTGAAAACAACCATAAACATATCAAAACAACATGTTGACATATTAGCCATAACAAAATAGCCACAAGACTATACCCATTTAGAAACATGACCATAGGTACCAAACTAGCCATGTGACCCTAATCACACAACAAAATGACCATAACCACATCGAAACATGGTCATAACCACATGATGACATGCCCATAACCATACCAACATGGAAACAAAATCATTTACACATGACAATATGACCATAACCACATGGTCAAATGACCATACCCATATGTTGACAAATCCCTGTTGTTTGATATTTTCATTTACATTATCTTCCACACTATGAAAGAACACTCACTTCACAAACAGGAAATGAAACTTTTTCACTCAAACAATGATCGAACTTTTCTTGTTTAAAAGACTTGCGTTGGTTCTTATCTTTAACTGTCCAAGCATATTAACATTATAGAATACATGCCCATGATCTTACCTTCCTTTTTAGACTCTGTAGGAGTTGTCTGTTTCACTGTGCCAGGCCTCGACATGGTTTTGATAATATCCTGTCTCTTCTGTTCTTCTTCGTCCTCCTGTAAAAGGTGATATGAGCCGCGTCACGACAAAACCAACATAATGTGTTTGCGACCAGCATGGATCCAGACCAGCCTGCGCATCCGCGCAGTCTGATCAGGATCCATGCTGTTCGCTTACAAACCCTATAACAAGTAGAGAAACTGATAGCGAACAGCATGGATCCTGATCAGACTGCGCGGATGCGCAGGCTGGTCTGGATCCATGCTGGTCGCAAACGCACTATGTTGGTTTTGTCATGACACGGCTCAAATGATTCATTTAGAGAAGAGAATTTATAAAGCCCTATCTTTGTGTATTATTATAATTCAATGTGGGGCTTAAAGATAAAAGCTAGCTATTTTTTTAATCGACTGAATGCCACTTATTTTTTTTTAGGAATCTAAATGCTAAAGGAATCATAAAATTGCTTTTATAGCTCCTGTCTAGGTTTTTTGTTGTTTTTGTTTTGTTTTTTGTTTGTTTTTTTGTTTTTTTTGGTGGGAAGGGGGTGCGTGGGGGTTCAGTTTTAAGTTGCACCAAAAAGGGTTGTTTTTTTGGTGGGTCTTACAACACACTGACACTGCTAAGGTTATATGATGACCTTCCCATCTTTTCCGATGAAGGTCCCCCTCCTTTGCAATATTGAAGGTTTAAGTGGGTGCCTGAGAAGAATAACCTACCATGTTATAGTTTAAACACACTCTCAAATTAATTCATGAAACCAACAACTAGCTTTCTCATATGAAGGAATCAAAAGTATCTGGCAGGATTCAAACCCACATTGGTGTTTTGAAGTCAGTAACCTTAACTACCTGGCCATGGATATAAGCCCCCACAAATATCATTAAAAGCTATACTGTGGTATGTAAAATTATGTACCAGTTTTTCTTGCTCGTTGATGAATTCTTCAAGTTGGGTCATGGCTGCGTCTGCTTCTTTCTCCGCGTCCGTCTGCAACTTCTGTGCCTGCTCCACCTGCTCTATCAAAATCTTCCTCTCCTGTAACATCAATATCATATTTATTGTCACGAGAAGTAATATATTACATAATTATCAAGAAGTACAAATATCAAATTTCATCAGAAAATAATTTTCTTTTTGATTTCTTAAAGGGAATCCACTGAGGTTTAAAAGCCAAAAAAAAACAACATTTGAATTTCTTACATAAAAGAGCTGCAGCACTTTAAACAGAACTATATGCAAAGATAGTTAAGAAATATACTTTGAAATAAATTGAAAATCATATTTTTATGCTTTTATTAGACCGGTTTGAATGAAAAGCGTTTAAGCACTTTTCATTTTAGGTCATTTTTTTACAATTTGAATAATTAATTATTAAGGAAAAACAAAGTGCGCAAATGGTCTGAAATTTTTGCACAAAGATTAGTGGTCTAAACCTTCATCAAATAGAACATTTATCTGGAAAAAATATTTTCAGTTCAATCATGTCAAAAAACCTCAGTGGTGTCCCTTTAAGAAATGTAAGGCACTCTTTGCAGGTTGATTTGAGGTTATATTGTTGAAACTGTTTAAGGGTCTTAAGAAATTGAGATTATAGGACTTATAATAGCCAATATGCTCTTTTTTGTCAAATTTTGTGTCATAATAACCTTAATATTCTTGTTCATATACATTTTGTGTTCTCTGACCTAAATTTTAGGAACTATAACCAAAATGTTCATTTTTTGTATAATTTTGTGTCGTATAACCATAACATTCTTTTTTTTTCCCTTAAAATTTTGTGTTCTATGACCTAAATGTTGCATTTTTATATAATTTCCTGTCTTCAGAATAACCTAGATACTTTCTATTAGAATTTTATGTCTTATGACCCAAATATTGTTCTTTTTGTACCATAATTATGGTGTCCTATATATACACAAACATTATTTTAGTACAGCTTTGTGTTCAATGATCCATTCCTTCTATTAATTTTTGGTACAATTTAGTGTCCGTTGACCTAAATGTTGTTTTTGTTGTATAATTTTATGTCTTTTTTGTTGTCAAATTTTATGTCTTTTTTACTGCACATGTCTTTAGAAATAATCAATGAGATGATCTGATGTTGCCATTGCTGTTCCATGGTCGTTCTTCAAAGAATTTTATTCCAATCAATAACTGATACAGGTGGATGTGCTTGATTTTAACCAGGTTTTTATTGTCAAAGCAGAATGATAAAATACTCATATAAAACAAAATACAGACACATTAAATGCATTGATTTGTAGGGTATGGTAAAAGGTTTTTCTAATTTTCTAAAACATAACAACAATTATCTACTTTATCTCAAACACTGAAAACTATTTGTCAAACTAAACTTTTATATTTATGTGGAAAAAAAGATCAGAAAAAGTTGAAAATAGTTTGAGCATAAGAATAAAAGCACCCAGAATTTACTTTAATGGCTAAACATGTTAAACAAGACTAAATAAAAGTATATCTGCATCTGCCATCAAAGAGAGGTAATCCATAAAGAAATTGATGAACTCAAGGGAAGTAATCAAAATGAAACTTTTCATCAGGGGAGACAACAACTCTGTATTGACGCAAATGGCACTCATTAAAAGAAATTAGCAAAACAGTTTAACTGTAAAAGATTTCGCCTATTAAATACAACTGAACCGAGGAATATTTTTTAAAACAGATTGTATATATAGAAATATTTCATTTCATTTCAGGTTCAGTCTGGCCCGGCTCTATGCTTGTGGCAAAGGCTAATCATATTTGGTTCCCGCAGAGTAAAGGTTAAAGGTCATTGGAAAGACTGTTTCATCAAGTGATTAATTAAAATACTAACCGCTTCCCATTTACTCTTGTGCTCATTAAATTGACTCTTCAATGAGTTCACCTTGCGATGTGTTTTAGTCAAGGTCACTTGTAGTTGTTCCTCCAGCTCTTTGATTTTACTTCTTCCCTGTAAATAATAAGTGCAAGTGTTTAATTACACCCCAACAATAGTGAATAACAGTAGAGCCACCAGGCGCAAGTAGAGTAGAAACCTGAGTAGAACCACCAGGCACAAGTGGAGTAGAAACCTGAGTAGAACCACCAGGCACAAGTAGAGTAGAAACCTGAGTAGAACCACCAGGCACAAGTGGAGTAGAAACCTGAGTAGAACCACCAGGCACAAGTGGAGTAGAAACCTTAGTAGAACCACCAGGCACAAGTGGAGTAGAAACCCGAGTAGAACCACCAGGCACAAGTGGAGTAGAAACCTTTGCAGAACCACCATACACAAGTGGAATGGAAACCCGAGTAAAACAACTGTCTTTATCCATATTTGCTGGATAGCTTTTTAAAATGAACAAAATTAATATGGTTAGAGAAAATTCTCATATTGATTGAAACTTGAACCCAGGATGGCAGAGATAAAAAGTAATCACTGATGTATTAATATGATACTTACCAATTGTCTGTACTGTAGAAATCTACCTGGTAAATGCTGAGGTGGTACAGAGCCCTGTTTAAGTAATAAATAATGCCATTAAGTGATTTTAATTTGTACACCACTGTTGTTTGAAAACCTGGCTTGACAATTTAAACTGATTGTCAGCATACTACTGAATAGAATGCTTATTTTTGAAAATGTGAGATCAAAATATTGCCATTATAGCTAACTTTTAAATTTTTCATAAAATGTAATAATTTAGGAGTTACATGTAATTTATTTAAATTTTTTGTTAATTTTTTTTTTAAATTGAATTTTGCAGCGGGATATAAATTACCTTTGTATCAAGATTGATAAAAACCCTTTTAAGGTCAACCACTTCTTGTATAAAGCATGCAAAATTTCCATAATTATTTCAAATATTGTTAAAAACAATAGAAATGTATGGTTTAATACTATCAGAGTAATTATTCATTGTCTTATAGACCTTCCAGTATAGAGTAATTCACTTTAAGGGTTCAAAAAGTTTGATATTTTTTTATACTGAGATTCATAATTACCCATGAATCCTCATCGTCAAGGTCAAATGAATCGGGAAATTCTGTCCCGTCTCCCTCGATCACGGTCTCAAGATTCTTCTGTCGTGTTGTCTGCCGACTTTGTTCGTTTGATTTCTCCACATACGCCTTGGCAACATCTCCACCTTCATCCTGAACTGACACATCAGCCGTATCTATAAAATACAGTAAGTCAAATGTTTAAAGGCCCATTATGCCCTACAAATGCTTTCTCAAAAACTTTTTTAAATTTGGTGTGCTGATATATTCCAAAGAATTATTCATCCCCAATTACCTGAATCATAATTTGTTTCTATTGCTTTCTGAAATTTAGTGAAGTTATAGTGATGCAGTATTTTAACATTATAAAACTCATTTTTGACCTTTCTAAAGAAGCAAATATCTATTTGTTTCTGAGTCATAATGTGCCTTTAATGGATGCAGGGAAAAAACCTGATATATATAAATTTTGGGGTCATCATTCTTGTTTTTGAGTTATCTGGCCCTGATTTGGACTTTTTGCTAAAGGGCAGATAATTCACAATGAAGGTGAACAATATTTTTTTTTTATTTTCATGTAGCTTACTTCCCTTTGAGCCAATGTGCAAATTTCAAGACTGAATACAGAGCAGATTGGTTTTTTTCCCCTTCTTCTCTAATCCTGCACCTTTAATTTGTTGCAGGGCAAAGCCCACTTAGAGTAATACACATTTATATGCTGTAGGGAAAATCCCTCTTAAATATAGTAACACACAATCATATGTTGTAGGGCAAAGCCCACTCAAATGCAGCAACACACTTCTCACCATGATAAAAAGCAATTTGAAAGGTGGATTGCAATTTTTTAAGTAACAATAATATATTGAATAATTTATTGGGTATTGAACAATTTTTAAAAAAAAAATCTAGTAACAACTACATATACATTTAAGGAAGTTTGTGTATACCTTTGTAACTCCTGCCTGACTTCTGAAATAAAAATAAGAAAACATGGTCATAATTTTATCTTTGAATCATTCATGCATAAAAATAATACATAAAGATTAATCTTGTGGTTTTTAAATCCTTATAAAATTTGTCCTGTGGAAGTAAACAATTTTGTTCATTTTTTTCTTTTTTTTTTGTTGTTTTTTTTTCAATTCTAAAAATAGTAGAAATTTGAATAAAATGTTTTTTCTCAGTCATGGAGTAATCTACTGTTTCATTGATTTATTTTCTCTTCAGAATATTCTTGGTTGGAAATGAAAAATATATACAGTAGAAACCCACAAACTCCACTAATCGAGAATCCTCAGTAAACCGAATTTCTCCTATCTATTTTCATTGAAAAAAAAAATCATCTGTAAACAGGAATCCTCCCTCAGTCCGGACCATGCCTGGTTATTGGTCTGGTGGCATACTTTGTTTGCACTGGTTCGCATGGGTAAAATCTGTGGCTGCCAGCAGGCTACATGTTTTTTAAATGAATCAAATAATTGGTCAGCAATTCTTAGACGGGTTAACCACTCAGCTACGCCACCATTCCGTTCATTTGACTTTTTTTAATACACAAACCTAACTGGAAAAAAATCAACATAACCAATTTCCACCCACCTCTTTTAAGTTTCTGTTTGGTGATTTGGACGGAGGTTTCGAGGGTTTTAGTGACTCCGCCCTCTTCTTTGTGTCCTTATTGCTCTGCCTACTATCCTGAAAATACCATTAAGAACAAATATTATAATAACTGTACATATTTTCTTTGGATTTATAACTCACTACAATTTATTATAATAACTGTACATAATTTCTTTGGATTTAACTGACACTACAGAGTTGGTGCAGTACCTCGAGAACTCTTGCAGAAATCATGATCACAAAGTAGAAAAATATCAGGCTTTTTTTTGGCAGATTCTTTCTTACATTTTTCATTCATTATCATATATAAATTCATGTGAAGAGCTGAATTAGATGTCTTAACGTGCATTTCAGCAGGTGAAAAGGCGAGATTTTAGCATTTAATCATTCAAGCACAATGTCCGGTATATACCAAAATACAATATTTAGTATGTACAAATACAACATGACTGGCAGTTTTAATCTGTTAAACTTCTTTAACGATATTAGGAAAAAAACGCTCAAAGGCTGCTTCCTTGATTTGACAAAATTTTCATCTTTTATAACATAGCATTTGGTCTAAGGTTTTAAAGAAATTCTCCATGCTTAAGATCAGATTTCAGGTAATTGATTGGTCAGAAATGGACTTAGAATTCTCACTGACCAATGAAATTATAATTTTGGGGCTTGATGCAAAACTGTTGTACCTGTTTATTTATGAAGCTAAAACATTTTCGCACCAGGTGATTGATATATGCTGTTTTGACTTACCGGTATGTGAAGTAACATGTCACTTTTAAATTTGAATTCAGAAATATGTTTTAACAAGTAAACAAAATTTCTTTAACCTTCAGAGTTAAATTGATTTTATTTTCTTCATTAAACTGCAAAAATTAATATACTCAATGATTGAATAAATGTTTGGCTTTTTTAAAATGCATTTTAGTACAATATATGACAATTTAATAGAAATAACAGACTCCCTGTTAAATGAAGAGTAAAAACTGCTGTCTACCAAATAACAAGAACTGAACTGTTTGTGTGTATGTGTGTGTGTGTGTGTGTGGGGGGGGGGTTGAGGGGAGGGGCTTAAAAATATACTAAACAATTTTAAAAATTTGTTTGCTTTTTTTTAATGGCATAACAGTTACTGTAACAGAAATTAATCAAAATATCTCATTGGAAATTAATAAAAATATCTTATTGGAAAAACATCAGACTAAATGACAAGAGCTGGCTGTTTGTGTGTTTTTCGGTGCTAAAAAAGTAATTTCAATAACAAACAAACATCGCAAGAATTATCTTTCAACTAATCTCATTATTAAGCTGGCAGGTTCCGCGACCCATTGATTTCTGTGGGTACATGTCACAAAATAATAAAACGCTCCGTATTTTCTGATCAGAATGCCGTTTAGACGAAGTAATGATTTGATTTGACGAAACAATAGAAAGTTTCTATGGTAAATCAATATAGATAAGGGACTAATATACCTGTTCAATATTGATTTGTTACCCAATAACTTCTCCCCCATTTTTTTTATATAAATAAATCTATGAGAAATAATTATTTCTCCCTATATTTCAGATAAATCAGGAAATCTATGTCATAAACTAAAATAAAACTTCCGAAAAAAGGAAAAAAAACATAAATTGTATTGAAAGATGATCTTAATTGTTGTTTTCTATTTTTAGAAACAATAATTATTTCAAGATAAAAAATTTCTAACCATTTATTGTGTGATGAAATGGTGACATTTATTAGGTAAAACATGTGATGCTATTGGGAGCGAATTTCATTTTGTATTTGTGAATGTTGTTACTTTAACCATAAAACATTTAATTGTAACTGGCAACAAAACTTCTTCCAGGTCGAATAAAGTAGGATGCTCTTGTTTAAATTTGCTTATTGTGACATAAAAACAACAACAATAACAACAAAAACACTGCAAGTACAAAAGGAGGGCAACCATGGCACTTAAAAGCTCACCTCAAAATTTACAGAACTTTTCAAAAAAATTTATATAGCTCAAATAATAAGAATAATTCTTAAGAAAAATTTTACTATGTATATGAAATTTGACAAAAAATGTTTCAAACAAATTATATTAAATTATTTATATGCATGAAAAAGGTATCAGTTTACAATGGCGAAAGTATCATTTAAAGCACATGGATGGACAAAAGGGAAAACTTAGAAAGCTCCTGAAATTTAATAATTATTGTTTCAATTGATTTATCTTATAATTTCAGTTTTAAAATTGCTTAAAGCAGCATGCCTCCAGATTCATGCTAATTTTCATTAAAATTTCGAAAATGTATAAAAAAAAGTAAAATATTGTGAAGTGAACAAAGAAAATGCTTTTTTGCAATTGGAACTTATAATCAATGTAAATTTAACCACCAATAGGTCAAAATATGCAAAATACATTGTAGCTCTTACTGCATTAGAAACGCAGTAGAATTATGGTGATAAATACTGCAAAATCAGTCATACATTGTACATAGCATGTACAATTTTACTCATATCTTGGATTTTCTTACATTTTTCTTAAAATTATGGTACATTTTTCTCAAGTTTGATTTTCTTGAAATATTTTGGCATGCAGCTTTAACATGTTGTTAACAAGTGAAGTGTTCTGTGAAGTGAAAAATTAACTTGTATTCCATATCAAAACAGACGCCATTTGCAAATCTATTTCAAACGTAAGATCAATTCTGTTTGAAAAATCAGTCCATAAATATCTTTATGCAACATTATTGATGAAGTACTCAAAGTTGTTTTTTTTATCAGTTAACAACTTGAGAGCATTTCAATTTTCTAACAAGGTTTTGAGAATCAATCTTAAAGGAACTCCACTGTCTCAGGTCCAAAGGCTTAAAAGCATAAAGGTTTTAATTTCTTACATAGATCAGCTGGGGCATTTAAACAGAAAAGATATGCAAAAGACTATAAGTTAAGAAATATACTCAGAAATGAATTGGAAATTGTATTTTTGTGTTACTGTTAGCCAGGTATGAGTGAAAGGCATTGCAATGCTTTTTTGATTTTGGTTATTTTTTTCATGGAGGAGCGAATGATCTGAAATTTTGCACAAAAGTTATTTGTATAGACCTACATCAAATGTTACAAAATTTTTGAAAAATTGTTTCCAGTTCCGTCATGTCAAAAAACCTCAGTGGAGTCCCTTTAATAAATTACTTCTTTTCATACATTTCTTCTGTGTTTTTCTTTTCAATAGCAGTATAATAGTATAAAACTATTTTATTATATACTTTTTAATGAAATATTGATGAAATCAAATGTATGATTTCATATTCCATATTTTCATTGTACAAATTTATTTTTTACTGCAGTGAAACATATTTTCCATATTTTCACTGGTGTACGTCTTGCTGGACTACTTTCTTCTAAATTCAGGTACTACACAAAATTTAAAGTGGAAATCTTTCAAATTGTGTTATCAGAAAAAAAGAAAATGTATATAATAAACAGAAAAATCAAGTTTTTTTCTATAAATACAGGATTTATTTTCATCTTGTGGTATGAAAATCATCATTTTTAACTTGTATAATAAATCCTGTATTTATAGAAAAAACTTGAATATCCTCTATATATCATGCATTAAATAATTTGTCCATCAAGTATCATTAATCAGTATAGACCAGATGGAATGATAATACATGTAGATAATAAGTAAACAATCATTTATATTTGTTCACAACATTCAGGAGTGAAAAATATGCATCTTTAATGCCAATTGTCCTCAAAACCAACCTTTCAGGACTCTTGAACACATACAACAAGTCACAGTTCAAACATGGGAAAAAAGGATTTCTGTCACCCACTTTCTTTTTCATGAGAGGTATAAAAAGGAAGGTAAACAAAACAAAACATATAAAGCAACACATCTTGCAAACAGCGGAGTAATATAATTGTGAAACTCTTGTTTTGGGTATCATACATTAGGACAAAACAAGCATAAAGGCCAAGTCCCTATATTTAAGCCAACAAAGGTCAAAACTTTCAAAGGACATATGGAAAACAATAAGGTATACATCTTTGCCAAACCCATATATCTCAGCCAACAAAGATCTAAACTTTCAAAGGACATATGGATAAACAGGGGATACATATTTGCCAAATCCCTATATCAAAGCAAACATAGGTCAAAATTGTCAAAGGACATACTTTTATGGTGAAAAACAGGAAAAACATCTTTGCCAAATCCCTATATCTAAGCAAACATAGGTTTAAATTTTCCATGGACATAGGGGATAAAACAGGGGAAACATCTTGTCATTGTTCTTACAGACAAATAACTTGCTGTCTTTTTGGTACTATAAGATGAAAGAGGCCTGATACTCTCATCTGGGGACAATGTGTATAAACCAATCTGAAATAACAATAAATCTATGTAAAAACAGAAACAATAACTTATAAATCTATGTAAAGCAGATTTATAAATCTATGTAAAACAGATTTATAAATCTGAAACAACAACTTATAAATCTATGTAAAAGCAGAAACATAATAACTTTTAAATCTATGAAAAGCAGATTTATAGATCTATGAAAAACAGATTTATAAATCTATGTAAAACAGATTTATAAATTTGAAACAACAACTTATAAATCTATGTAAAACAGATTTATAAATCTAAGTAAAAACAGAAACATATAACTTATAAATCTATGTAAAACAGAGTGAGTATGAATAAAATGGAAAATAAAAATTATGAAATCTATGTAAAACAGAAATATATATCAATTTATAAATCTATGTAAAACAGATTTATAAATCTATGCAAAACAGAATTATCAATCTATGTACCATAGAATGAACATGAAATAAACAGAGATAAATAAGTAAAACAGAATAAAGATTTATTTAACTGGAAGAAATGTATATAAATCTATGTAATCATAATCAACATGAATTAAATGGAATTACAAATCTATGTAAAACAGATTTATAAATCTATGCAACAGAGAATGGACATGAATTAAACTGGAATAAAAAAGTTATAAATCTATGTAAACTGAAATATTGTTCATAAAATTCTATGCAAAATAGATCTTTGAATCTATGTAAAACAGAACAAATATAATTGTATAAATCAATTTCAAAATACAATTGATAAATCAAATTTAAATCCAAAGGACATGTCTACTGGTACAACTTTAGAGATTCAACAGTATGTTGATAGGACTAATACTTTCTTTTTTCAGAACTTTGCATAATTTTCAAAGTTCTATAAAATAAGATTACAGTTATGAGTATAATAATAATCTAAAACCAAACCATTGTGTTTGTTTATTTGAATGTTTTTTATGCCAAATCTTAACACATTTTTGGTCATATCTTTGGGGTGGGTTGATGGCACCCAACTTGCTTCCCCGGATAACTAACCAGTACCAGTAATTACAAACTTCTCTACAACAGTTTTCTGATCAACTTTACATGCCATTGTATAATTTGTTAAATTCCATACCATGTGAAATGTAAATAATTTGGGGTTAAAACATGTTGAAACCCTTAAAACAACAAAACTTCCTAAAAGATGCTCAAAGATGCTAAAACCTGCTTAAAGATGCTAAAACCTGCTCAAAGATGCTTAAACCTGCTATAAATTAATCGGTATCTCTACCTTTTTCTTTCCTTTGGACATATTTGCTTTCATAATCACATCACCATTATTCCCTAGTTACTATAGTTACCAGCTTCCTCGGTCAAACTTTGGTCAAATATTTTTAGGTATCTTTTCGAAAGTTATCACTTTTATTTTCCAAACATGCCAAATTAACTTTATGTTTCTATTATACACTGTTTAAAAGATCACTTCCTATCATCTCTATTAAAAAATTTTCAACTTCATATATTTTTATTCAGACACAATTTTTTCAAAACAGTCACGATCTGGCCACTAGAAACTTCAAATCTACATGTTTCTTAAAAACACACTTATAAACAGATCACCAAAAGTCCTAGATACATGAAATTTTCTCAATCAAATTTCCATCAAGTTCATGCACATATTTTGTCAAATTTTCCACATTTTTACATTTTCCCCTGAAACTTTAAATCTACATGACGGTTTCTATTACACACTTAAAAAAATTAATTAAAAGTCTCTTGATATCACAAACATTCATCAAAATTTACATATTTTGCAAATCTCTTTTTTTAAGTTTTCCACTTTTTCACTTGAAACGTTCCTTTTTTTATACGTAAAAAAGATCACTTCATGTCAGATATTTCTATCATACTTAGCCAATAAACTTTGTATATTTTGACAATATTTTTACAAATTTTTTGAAATTTTTTAATTTTCCATTCCAAAAACTTCAAATTTCCTAGCCAGAAACTTCAATCCGACATGATACTAAAAATAGATTCTTTCTCTACATATTCTTCCTCTTTGAAACTCGGGACCACATAATAACCGTAATCCCTCGCTGATTAGACTCGATTTTTTCAAAATGAAAAAAATATTATCACGCAAAATTTGCTTCGTCATTAAATCGAAAGTTCCAAATATTTCAAAATTTAAAAATAACCCCTAAATCTCTTATCACTTCAAAACATTAAAAGATTCAGGTTTTTTTTATAAAATATAAATCCAACTACTTTTCGGATCTTGTTTTAAATATGGCACGGATAGAATTTCATAAAACTTCATATTACATGAAAAGTTACCCCATGATATTTATAGAAATAAATAGAAACACAGGGAGAAAAACAAATACGATTGAAGAGTTTTTCTGATAATATGGAATCAATTTGTAGAAGGCTGACTGTCAACAAAGCTACGGGTAATCTCATTCAGGCTATTGACTAGATTATTGGCAGAAATTTTCTCTTATAAACTCTGCTGAGAACATATTTTTCCAACAAAGGGAGGTAATTGTGTGAAAGGAAATTGAAAATTTTCCGTCTGACTTCTTTTCCTTTGAGTTTGAAAGAAGGGAAATGTCAATCTGGCTTGGAATTATGGGAAATTATTTAAATTTTTATTGCATATTTTCTTGATATTTTCTGTCCTCAGTTGATTGAAAATATTTCCTTTGATGTAAATTAATAATTCAGGAAATGTAACTTGAACTGAATTTCGCGCAAAGGGAGGTAACTTATAATTTGATGTACTTTAAACTGAATTTTACTTCAAGGGAGGTAATTTGCAATATAATGTACTTTTTACTGAATTTCACATTAAGGGAGGTAACTTATAACAACTTTTAGCTGATCTGTTAAAATAGAAAATGTAAGCAATTTTTTACGTTTTTTTTATTCATTTAAAGAGACTTATAATAAAGCTATTCATCTGCTGCTTACAGTTTACAAAATTATTGTTTGAATTTTGAAAAAAAAAAACCCCAAAAAAACCTGTATGAAAGAAATAATTTATGTTTGTACAATTCTTTTAGAGAAAATAGCAGGTGAAAAAAATCATTGCTAAACCAATATTAAATAGCAGCATAGAATTTTGTCTTGGAACATTTTATTCCATTAACATGTGACCGTTAATAACATAATAACAGAGACATTTGATAACTCTTTCATGAATGGAAAATATGATTATAGAAACAACATAATTTTACTGTTGACAAATTTTCTAAAAGTATTTCATTAGATAATTATTGCTTTATACCCTTTAACAAAGCTATAAATAAAGGGAGATAATCAAGCTTATACTGTTCAAAAATAAACAAAGGGGGATAACCAAACATATATCAATTTTAATTATTTCTGATATTGGATGCACACAAAAGAATCCAACTCCCCACAATTCCCTCCACTATATCCCCCAATACCTCCACCCCCCTCCTTTTTTATCTTAATACATAAATAGCAGGATAACCAGAAATCATACAATTATTGAAGTAGTATTTATTATTAATATTTAATTGTTAATGAATTTCTTTTATTTCAAGCATAATTTTTTTAATTTGCCTGACAAAGAATATGCAAAATGTAATACATTATTTATGATACAAAATACAAGAAACTCTTTTAATAAAATTCTTTCTTAAACTCAGGAAAACATTTGGTTAAAGCCATAAGTAAGTTATATAACATTTTTAAATTTGGAATTCTTTTTTTTTAAACATGACTCAGTTGATTCGTAAGTAAAGTGCAACTGCCATATGTCTATGTTATTACTTAATTTATTACGCCTAACAAGTAGTTTTTTCAAAGAGTGTAACTATTATATTACTTAAAGATTTTCTCCGCACAAAGCACCTGTTTCCGTTGATATTGACATTTTCAAACTTTATAAGTCTTGTACGACAAGTGTTTGCATTGAATAAATCTTTATTTATCAAATTGATCAATGTAAATTTCCTATAGATCTTAATCAATTCAAGGTACATAGTAAAACAGAATATAAAATAAGCTCTCGGTTTTCAAGTAGAGTGTCATATAATTAAACATAAGCACTTGAACAATTGATTTGCATTAACAGAATTGTCGTGGGTTCTTCGACATGAAATTTCTTCTTTAATGCTTCAATCATGATCAATATATATTTTTTTTTGGCTGGTATACAAAACATACATGTCTTTTTAAATTTTAATATATTTAAACATAATGAATTTATTATTTTCATTTATCTACGATTTTTTTACTATTCCCATGCCAAGCATATAGCCTAATAAGGAAAGCTGCAATTTAAGCACTTAATAACTAATCTCTTTTCCAATTGTCAAAAGAAGTAATATTATAAAAGTCCAAAAGAATCATTATTTAAGGAATTTAATGAGATCTAAAAATTTTTAAAACATAAAATTTTAATTTCTTAGGTAACCTCGGGTAATAGAAACAGAACAATATGCAAAAGATAGTCAGAAATAACTTGAAAATCGTATTTTTGTGCAAATCCTCAACAAAAACGATTGAAAGGCAACACTTCTCATTTTTTGGCCATTTTTCACCATTAGGATAATTATTCTGGAAAGACAAAGAGAGCAAATGATCTGAAATTTCGCACAAAAGTTATTTGTTTAGAACTACATCAAAATTAATGGAACATTAATCTTGAGAATTAATTTTCAGTCCTGTCATGTCTAAAAACCTCAGTGGAGTCCCTTTAAACAAGAAAATGCTACTTTATGCATTTCTCACTACATACAGTCTTGTTGGGAAAAAAACCCATTTGAACAATAATTATATCATTTTGTTTATGGTTTCTGCCATTTCTTACAACATTGTATGAAATTACAACTTCATTCATAACAGCTAAATGTGACGTCATCCTAAGCATGCCATTGTATAGCACACAACTCATCTGGAACCCCCCCCCCTCCATATCAGATAGAATTTCCGGCATGGGTAAAAGTTGTAAAACGGATCACTAGTCTGTTATGCAAGGAAGTTCAATATTTCCTCAAAAAA